ATGGAGAGGACCCGCACGGGGCCCAGACCGATGTCTGCACCAAAGGGTCTCAGTAACAGCCATGGTGGTCTATGAGGACCACCATGGAGGAGATCTCCGTGGGTGCTATATGAGGACTGTAGGTGCCCAGGCTCTGCGGTCCCAGCCCTGTGCACACTGCACCCAGCTTGATGACAGCTCCGTTGTGTCCCCAGGTGGCCAAGGATGTCTCCGTGCGGCTCCACAATGAGCTGGAGGCGGTGGAGAAGAAGAGGATCAGGCTGGAGGAGGAGAATGAGGACCTGCGCCAGCGGCTCATCGAGACGGAGCTGGCCAAGCAGGTGGTGCAGAACGAGATGGACAAGCTCCGAGAGGTGAGTGGGACATGGGAGGGGGGACTGAGAGGCGTCCCCAAGGCTCTGCCTGTAGCAGGTGTCCTGGCCCTGCACCGCGGGATCCCACATCCCTGCTCGCATTGCTGAAACCCAAACCGTCCTGCAGATGCCTGTGAAACCCGAGCAGCGCCTGCCCTCAGCAAGGCATGCTTCATCCCGCCCTGCGGGCACCGGGTGGCTCTACCCTGTCCCGAGGTGGGGGGGGGGCTATGGGACTTCTCCCCTGCACTAGAGCCACTTTATGGGTCCTCGGCCACTTGCTCCAGCCCTGGGACGTGCCCAACTCCCACAAGCCAAAGCTCTGCATGATGTGTGGAGTCCGCTGTGCCCCTGGCACAGTGCCCGGTGCTGGCTGTATCCTGACCGCATGCTGCTGGTTCAAATTGAGCTCAGCCGCGGGGCTGCAAGGCAGCAATGTCCCAGTGGTGCTGCAGATGTGGGTGGGTGCACAATCCCATCTGTGTCCTGGGAAGCCATGTGCCATGCATGTACCTACATGCACGGGTTCAGGGCGCTCCATGCCGTGCTGGGTTTGGGACCAGCTCCCGGCCAGGAGCAATGTCATCCTCAGTGACAGGAAAGGCATCCCGGTGACAGCGTGGGCTTTTGATCCATTGCAGCACTTGTAACCCACTTCCCTACTGCCCGGGATGCCTTTGGTCCCCGGGGAGCCTCAGGAAGCGTTGCTGGCTGAGCCGTCAGGGCAGCGTGTGGGAGGAGACGTGCCGTGTCAGAGCTGAGGCCTTGCTCCCACCGAGGATGGGGACATGACGCAGGGAGGGCTCTCTCTGCCCTCAGCCGTGCTCCCCTGCGTGGCAGGGCAGGGAGCCAGCACACGGCTTGGCATCTCTGTGGCCGGCTCCAGTTAATGCCAGGGCCAGCTCCTGGCGAGCCGCAGGACCTGGCTACAGTTGCACCCATCCCCTCTGCAGCCACCTTCTCGCAAAGTGGCACGGAGCAGCGTCACCCCAGACGGAGCGTCTTGTCCCTCCACTGCGCAGCCTCTGCTAACAGGCGTGAAATGGGTTTCCCTGCAGCCGGCAGGCGTGGGCTGAATAACAAATGGCAGCAGCGGGAGCTGGGCTGGAGGACTCTCATGCTTGAAAAACAGGCAGAGAAAATGTTTGCGTGGTCAGTGTGCAGGGAGACCTGAGCGCCAGCTGCTGCCTTGCCCTGGCAAAAGAACATGGGACAGGATACGGCCCCTGTCTGCAGCTTCGTGAGCCCAAAGGGAATGCTGCCGGCTGGCACGAGACCCAGCACAGATCAGAGCACAGCTCCCCGAGCTGGGGATGGCGTGTCCCCAGGCTAGCAAGGGCATTGGGGTTACTCACTGATTGCAGAGCACTAATTAGACAAACAAGTGAGTTAACAGCCCTCCTCCACCTCCTCCCTGCTGCTGGAGGGCACAGAGCGTGGCAGAGCTTGTTAGCAGCCAAGCCAACATGGAGCGGGGGCTGTGCAGGGCTGGGCTCACCTCTCAGGGGTGATTATTTCTCCCTTCCAAGAGGTTTCTCTCGTAATTGGATAATTGTTGGGATGGGCAGATCCATCCCCAAAGGCGCGTGTGTTTGACCCTCTGGCTCTACCCCTCCATGGCATCTCCTGGGGGGCAGGAGAAAAGTGGGACTGGTCCAGGTACCCTGTGCCAAGTCTGCCGCATCGAACTTGGTCGTGATGAGACCCTTAGGCATGGCCATCCCAAGGGATGCACCAAGGTGGAGCGATGGCAGCCGCCATCTGACCCAGGGTGCTGTGCTTGGGGCTGCTTGGGGCCGGGCGATGCCCTTTGCCAGCCCTGGTCCTCAGCGCAGTGGGGGCGAGGGATGCCGACGTGGCACAGCCAGCCCCCAGGAGAGGCTCTGCAGCAGCAGCAGCTCCAGCGATGGTCGTGGCCTTAATAGGAAAGCCTGGAGCCCAGCACCTTGGCACAGGCCGCAGCTTACATTTCACAGCTGCTTTCTTTGGCTGCTGGGCCTCAGCGCCAGCTTGGAAGTAGGTCCAGGGTAGCCGCAGGGATCGGCCAGCACTCATGGGGGGCTGCGTGGATGTTCTTGAGGGTTTTCCCCCAGCTCCCCTCCCCAGATAACTGGCCCTGCTCTGGGCACCTGCTTTTTTCCCCCCATTCCGGTGTCCCTTATTGCTCTGTCTGGCCTCCCATCTCCCAGCTGTCCTCACTAGCCTGGAGATCATCCCTTGCGTCCCCAGAGACCCTGAGGGCAGAGTCAGCATCATCCTGCTGAGGAGCCCTCCCCATAGCTAAGCGACCAGGACATGTCCCTTGCTTGGGGAATAGGCGAGGGGGAACGTCATCATCTGCTGCTCCCACACTGGGATGCCCCAAGAGCCATCCCTTGGCCTGGGTGTTGGATTACCCGCTCCATCCAGCCGTGACACGACTGTGACTTAGCCTCTCCATGGCTCATTTCCTGCTCACTCCTGCTCTCTCACTGCTCGCTTGCCTGCAGGGGGAATTTCTGGCCAAACCTCATGATATGATGCTTTCCAGTCCAGCTCCCCCAAAGCAAAGGGCCTCAGCCCACTGGGGCTCTGGTGTTTTCCTGGGGTTCACAAGTGGCTGGAGAAGTCAGCATCGATGTCCATCCATGCTGGGTCTGTCTGTCCGTGCCGGGATGCCGTGCCATCGCTGCAGGTAACAGCTCTCTTCTCTCTGCAGAATTCCCTGAAGAAGCGGGCATCTCGCTCCATTGGGAAGACTGAGAAGAAACCGTCAGTGCAGGTATCGGCGCCGGCGCGTCCGGGGCACGCCACGGTGGCCCACCGGCACCCCAGGTCGTGGTGCCAGCTGGAGACTACGCCTGGCCCAGAAGTAAATCTGGGCATGGCAGTGCCATCCCCTCGCTTGCAGGGCTTTCCTGCCTTTCAGAGACCCTGCATAAGGGAGGGATTGATGTGCTGGGCCATCCTCATTGTCCTCAACCACTCCCTTGTCTCACTTATGAATGGAGCATCGGTGGCCGGCTGGTGGCTTTAACCCTTTCCGTGTGTCAGGACTCCAGTAAGGAGCTGAAGGACTTTGGCTTTTACATTGCAAAACTGCTTCTGCTCTTGGGTTGTGGCTGTTGCAGCTTGGGTCCCTCCTGCTTGAGGATAGCCTGAGAGCCCCGCGGGGTTTGGGGGAGCTGAGGGTCCCCGTGGGGAACGGCTCAAGGCCGAGCTGTCCCTGCCCTGCGCCAGGCTGCTGGGGTAGAGCAGGGGAGGGGGGATTTGCCGGCGGCAGCAGGATTTCAGCTGTCATTTGCTGTTGGGCTGAGCTGCTGTGACTCACTAATGCTGTTACTGGGGCTCAGAGGAGCAGAGCTGCTGTTGCGGGAATAGAAATGCAAGTGTTTTAATGCTGGAAAAAAATTATTTCAAAGGCAAAAGACCTGAAAGGTTTATTTTGGGGAGTAGGTCTGCTCCCCCAAAGCTGGGGCAGGGAGGGGGACCCTGTCAAGACACTCCTGCCACATGCTGCTGAGAGCATCTCATGGCAGGGACCCCGAGCACCCTGAGGGTTTCTGGGTGACCTGTGTCATTGCTGGCACAGCCCACTCTGTGCAGCCACGGGACGGGGATCCCCAGGCCCTCAAAGACTTTCCCCTTTGGTCTTTTATTTATCATCTCCCTTTAACTCCATTGTTGAGAGCCCTTTCAGGCCAGCTGATGGTCCCAGCGTCCCCCCCCTCATTTCCCCAAAGATCCCCAAAGAGCAGACTGTGGCTTTGCACCCACCCCTGGCTGTGCCCCGAGCCAAGGGGGCTGTCCGGGAGCCCCTCCGTCACCCCCCTTCCTGAGGCTGAAATACAGCCCCTCCTCTGCCTCTTCCCTGGGCTGGAAACAAACCCCAGCCCTGGGCTGCAGTAAAACCCCCCTCTGCTTCCCACATCCCCACGGAGCTGAGACCCCTCAGTCTGGGGACCCGGGGCTGGATGCGGCTCCAGCTCTGCGCTGGGACCAATGCTCCAGGAAGGAGCCGGTGCTGGAAAGCAAACCCCGAGCTTCCCCTGGCGCAGACGCCCCTGGATGTGGCCCCCCCAGCCACTCCCTCTCCCACGCCGCCGTGGTGGCCCCGCAGGCACAGATGCTGGTGACTCATCGGTGGCTTCCTGGGCCCCTTTCTTGCCCGGCCGTGCTGGGCGAGCGTCGGCGCTCACTGAAAATGGAGTTGGGGGGACAGACCCAATGCTGAGTTCTGCCCCAGACCCCAGGAGCACTCGAGGTGGTCTTGGGGACGTGTGTGTCCCTCCAGTGATGCCAAAGGGCAAAGGGACACGCCGGGCTGCTGCTTTTTTTTTCCCTGGAAAAACAGGAACTGAGGTCATGTCTGCCCCGGCGGGGAGAGCTGCCCGCGCCAGCCCTCCCCTAATCGCCGCAGCTGATTAGGGGGGGGCACAGCTTTAATGCGCCTTAGCGAGGCCACATCTCAGTGCGCGAGTGCGGAAGAGCAGCAGGGTGGTTCCTGTGGTCACAACAGGGCGTCTGGGGAATAAAACAGCACCCCAAACTCATGGGACCCCCCCCCCATCGCCCCTGGCCTCAATATGAGCAGCCCAGGAAGTCTGCAGAGTAAATAGCTGCTGCAGGGTTTGGGGGGTGTGAGCGTGGGCATGGCTGGATGGGGCTGGGGGGTCAGGAGCACCCAAAGAGGGGGATAGCTTGTTTCTGCCAGCCAAGGAAACAGGAAAGGGGATGAGTTCAGCCAGGCGGAGGGCTGCTGGGGCCAGCAGCCACCTGGCCAAAGGGCTCGGCCACCTCTAGCACCCGCCCAGGGCTTCAGCACGTGCTGCGGGGCGAGAGTCACAGCCCGGCAGGTCCCCTCCTGGCAGTCGCTGCGCCGGAGCTTGGAGCACTCAAGTGACCCCACGGCACGGGAAGCCACGAGCTGACGTCAGGAAATCCTGGTCCTCCATCCAAAAAGCTTTCCAAAGCAGAGAAACGGTCTGCCTGGGCAAATAGCCGAGATCCTAACTGCTAAATTTAAAAAAAGCACGTGGAGAAACAGTCCCAAGAAGCAAAGGGGCTTGGGAAGGGACCAGCGAGCTGATACGGGGGGTGTGCCTGGGTTTTCTGTCCCCTGGCAAGGTGGTGGCAGCAAGGATGAGTGCTGGGCAAGGGCTGGGATTTTGGGAGATTTCCAGCTGAAACCGCTGCTTCTCTGCCCTATGATGGAGTGTTTGGGGCTGAGCAGGAGGAGCAGAGCCCCAGTTGGGGCGGTTGCAGCAGCAGCAGCAGCACCAATTGTTTCAGCACTTGCCAGCTTTTGGAAGGAAACCTTGGTGGCTTTTATTTTGCTCTGTGGAGTCTGACAGCTTTTCCTCTCCCTGTTCCCTGCGATGGATCGGGCTGCGGCAGGGCTGGGCTCGGTCCCCACATCCCCAGCAGTGGCTCAATGTCCTTCCTGGGGCCGGAGCCACGAGTCTCCTCGCCCAGGCATCCTGCCCTGTGTCCGGGCTCTCCCTGAAAGCCTCCAGGATGGATCTCAAAGTTTTTTCCCCTTCATGAGCAGCAGCTGCAGCTTCCCTGGGATCACCGGGGTGGGAGGGTGGCATGTCCCCAGGGCTTGCTCAGAGGCACTGTGGCCCCTCAGAGTGCTTTTCTAACGCCCGTGCCCTCTCGGTCCCCAGGAGGACAGCACAGACCTGAAGTGCCAGCTGCATTTTGCCAAGGAGGAGTCAGCCCTGATGTGCAAGAAGCTGACCAAGCTGGCCAAGGAGAACGACGGCATGAAAGAGGAGCTGCTGAAGTACAGGTCCCTGTATGGGGACCTCGACAGCTCCCTCTCTGTGGAGGAGCTGGCCGACTCTCCCCATTCCCGGGAGGCCGAGTTGAAGGTCCACCTCAAGCTGGTGGAGGAAGAAGCCAACATCCTCAGCCGGAGGATAGTGGAGCTGGAGGTGGAAAACCGCGGGCTGCGGGCGGAGATGGACGACATGAAGGGCCAGGGGGACAGAGAGCTGCCGGGGCAGGACGTGCGGTTCCTGGCGGGCATCTCGGGCTGCGGGGACGCAGGGGACACGGTGGCAGAGCTGCGCCGGCACCTGCAGTTTGTGGAGGAGGAGGCCGAGCTGCTGAGGCGCTCGCTGCTGGAGCTGGAGGACCAGAACAAGCTCCTCCTGAACGAGCTGACCAAGTACAAGTCAGACCATGAGCTGGATGTGACGCTGTCGGAGGACAGCTGCTCGGTGGTCAGCGAGCCCTCGCAGGAAGAGCTGGCCACGGCCAAGGTGCAGATCAGCGAGCTGAGTGGCAAGGTGAAGAAGCTGCAGTACGAGAACCGCGTGCTGCTCTCCAACCTCCAGCGCTGCGACCTGGCCTCCTGCCAGACCAGCCGGCCCATGCTGGAGACCGACGCCGAGGCTGGTGACTCAGCGCAGTGCATCCCTACCGCCGGCTGGAGGGATGGGATAGGCAGCAGTGAAGCCGAAGGGCAGGACAGGGTACCCGGCGGTGCGAAGGTGCCCGATGGCCCCACCAAGCTGCTCAAGCCCAAGGACCTGGAGACCTTGCTGGGCATCCGGGACCAGGCGGCGCTCGTCAGCAAAGCAATCGACATCTTGATTTCGGATGCCAACGGCTTCACCTCCGGGCTGAAGGCTTGCTTGGACAACGAGTGCATGGGGGGGCTGCTGGGCGAGGCGGTGGGTAGCGGCGGCGAGAGCCCCAGCGATGCCAAGCTGATGAACGTGCTCCTCATGCGGCTGGGTGTGCTCCAGCAGGACCTGGGCTGCTTCGCAAGGAAGGTGGACCACCTCACC